ATGCCTTGTTTCCCCCGGATTTTCATGGCGAAAAGGGACGGTCTTCCTTGGTTTGTAATTTGTGTGGAGATAAAAAGCAAAAAGCCTGTAATGTAGAGAAGTTAATAGCAGAGCAAAATAACAATTTGGTTATACAACACCTTTATCGATCCATCAAAGTTTCCTCCTTCATGGTAACAAAGTAGATCCAACTCGAGCAAAATAAGTAAAAGTTTCATTCTATTGATCATACTCATGTTTGAATCTCAAAAAAGCTCATATTGATTTTGAGTTACAAAATGCACAGTTGAAACTTCCATATAAGAAAGCAGAGAGATTATACAAACAAATAATAATCTTATTCTCTTATAATCATCAATTACATTACTTTGGGTACCAAAACATGCCTTTGATGCCTTCTGGATCAGCTTCAAACCCCAAATTCTGATAGAAATCCACAACTGCAAACACCTCAACAAAAAAGGAGACAAATTCAGTAACTAGGGAAGAACAAACTCCAAATATTTTGATTACAAATTTGCAACATAGGATGGTTTAATATTACCTTGACTATCTGCGAAAAGCGATATATTGCCAATATCTCGCTGAAGAAGAGCTCTTACGAGTTTTTCGACAAGCGCTTTACCTAGCCCTTGACCCTGAAAAACACAAAACACTCAATTAACTTCAAACACAGAGGCCAGAGCAAAGAAAAAAACTATTTTCTTCGGTTACCTGATATTCAGGATCAACAAGAACATCCCAGATAGTAGCATTAAAGGCATGATCCGAAGTTGCTCGTGCCATTCCAATAAGCTTCTTCTTCTTCGGCTCGTTATCGCCTTCTGTGTCAAATAACTTCTCCAAAATCCGCTAAGATGTTCATCAAAAACATCCTCTTTGTAGTAATACATTTTCTTTCATTGGAACAAAGAGAAAGAGTTACTTAATCTAAAGCACCTGATGAATTCGAATCTGAATCTGATGATGACTTCATTACAGAATGCAATGTAGCTACCATATAACTATTCTTCAAAGCCGCAGCTAGTTTCGATAACGGTCTTCGAGGCCATCCCACCTTATTTCATTTCAATGAATGAGATTATTGAAGCAAAAGTAGTAAAGAGGACAAAGACTAGTTTCTTTACTACCTTATCACAAAGAGTTTGAAGATCATAGACATCAATCTCACCACCAGAAGAAAATATGATCTCTTCTATGAAACCATCTTGTAAATTTCTCTCAACTAAAGTAAATTCCACAGGCAGTATTGGTTCTGTTTCATCTTCTTCTTCGATTGAAGAAGGTGGTTCCACAAGTTGGGTCGTATTGTTATTCTTAATAAACCTAATAG